AAAAAGACTTTTTGGCTGATATAAGAGTTTAAAACCTGGTAAGATGGACAGTTTTTACAGTGAAAATTAAAATAAATAGATAATAAATACAGACTTTTGGTCTTCTGAGTCGTTCTTTCTGTGTAAATAAGGTCATTTTGTTTGAATATGTTGAATTATTCCTGTTTTTTTCATCAAACACACCGAAACTCAAGTGATGATGATTAAATCCGAAGTGTTAATAAATAAACAGATGTCTGAGCCACACAGGAGTTAAACTGGGAGGAATAAATGTCCTGCTGGAGGGAAACTTTCACCGGACAGCAGCCCTGCTGTCAGCCTGTTCCCGTCAGGAGCAGCTGGACAGGAAAAAACAACCTCCAGGAGAAAAGTGAGGTGTTTGAGGTGTGTCTCAGGTGTGTTCAGAGAAACTTACCTGGTGAAAGTGTTAGCAGGAGACCGAGGAGAGCAGCAGGTGGAGGAGCATGCTTCAACTCATCTCCCTCAGCTTGGTGCTTTTCTTCTTCCTTTGTTCCTTTCCTGCTGCCTCGTCTCCTCAAGCCGCTCCTCTGAAGCCAGAGCCGGGCAGGAATTTCAGGAATTAGCCGTGGAATGACACGAAGCCTGGAACCAGCCCGAGGAGGCAGGAGGAGAAGGAGGAGAGGGGAGGGAGGTCTGACCGGTCAACAGGAGGAGGAGGAGGCTAGAGGGGAAAGGAAGGAAGGAAACCAAATCACATCAAAGACCAAAACAATCATTTAAAGAACATGTCTTTGTTTTTAACATTTAAAAAGATTAAATCATTATTTCTCAGCTGACATCACCTCCTGTAGGAGAATAAACTGAGAAAAAGAGATCAAAGCAGGGGCGTAACCACCATCTTAAAGCGGGGGGCACATGTCCCACCCCGTACCTGTGGCAGTTACACCATGGGTCAGAGTTTGTGGAACATAAGTTCTGTGAAATAAAATGGTTTATCTGGTCTTTGTCCAAACATATTAAATGCAGGTGCACTGAAAAAATAACGTGTAAGATGTACTTGATAAAAATCCTCTAACAAATTTGCACTAAAGTTTGTTGAGTAAATTTAAATGCTACAAATTCATGTAGTATTTACTCATCATTATCTAGTAAAAGTTATTAAGAATATAGTTAAAGATTTGTGAATAAATCAGGTAAATTTTACTTAATTTGKTCAAMTAWATSTTYRAACATATACTTGATCAAATTAAGTAAAATTTACCTGATTTATTCACTAATATTTAACTATACTCTTAATAACTTTTACTAGATAAAGATGAGTAAATATTACATGAATTTGTAGCATTTAAATTTACTTAAACATTAGTGCAAATTATTACGAGAATTTTTTCTAGTAAATCTTACAAGTTCTTTTTAACAGTGCACATGTGTCACACACAATATTGTATCATGACACCTCACAGCTACAGAGAGGTGTAGCTCTTGTTGTAATTCAAGACTTCACCACCAGGTGMCAGTTTTGAAGAACCTTTATTGGATTCTTCTTCATGAACAACACAGACAAAGTGAAACTCACAGGTCTTATTAATGACTAGGCCTACCACTCTCACTTGTGGTTACTTCTGCTGAACGCTTTAACACAAGTTAACAAATAATGAACACACAAATTACAGTAACACAACAGACTAACTGCTGAAAGAACAATGTTAACCAATTCCCTAAAATGATTTAACAACAACAAACATGAATCCTACCCACAATCCTCCACTGCAGTCACATGACAAACAGCCAAACACAGCAGAATGCTACAATATGCATTCCCTGTTCCCTGACAACTAAATATCACCTACATTATGTCATCAAACTATTGCACACCAACAAATGTATTCAAGCAAAAGAAAGCAGACAACTTATGTTTTATTTCCACCATGTCTTGTCCTCTCCTTGAAAAGTGAAGCAAGGGAATGAGGAGCAGCAGCCTTTGTGTGTGCATGCAGCCTCAGTTTTAGTCCAGAAGAGTAGAAGTTACTTCATATATTCATGTTTATGTGCTGTCCAGAAAAACACTTAACTATTACTGGTAAAATAATATTAGCATTTACTTTTTTGTACAGTAATATTGATATATAATATAATGCGTATTGTTTATTTAGTAAATTCTAGTAGTTTAGAGATTTTGAATTTTTTTGTAAAATTAAAAAGAATAATTAAATAAATTTTACTACACCCAAAAAAATTTTTTTCAGTGTATGCACTCAGCACAAACAAAGCAGACTTTACCTAACAAATCTGAGGGTAAATATAACATTTAATGAAAATTAGTCGCCACTTTGGACCATTTCAGTCACTTCAGCTGTAAATGAAAAAGATGACAACAGTTTGCAGGTTCTGCTTAAAAGTTTTGAATAAAATTAAAGTTTTTATTATTAAATTTAACGACACAAATTATCAATATAAGAACATATTTTGTGCATATATGATTTTTTTACTTTATTATTTTAGTTTTACTGTGGTTTGGATGACGCTGCAGTCAGTACGTTTAATATAAGTTTAGTTCTGATTATTTTTAGAGTTTATTATGTTCACTGATTTATGTTTTAAAAAATGGTAACCAAACGAGCAGTTCACTTCCCGGTTATTGTTTGGCCTAATAATGTACTAAATTATATACAATTTGATTCTTCTAATCATTTGATATAAGCTTCTGTCCATCGTTGTGAAAAATAAATAACTTACCTGTTGTAGATAGCTCTGTGAACAACATGATTCAACATAATTCATGTTGAAAAGCTGAGTTCACACAGGAAATCAAAGTAGCTTGTTTTATTTTTTGCAGTGTTGTATAAAGTTCCTCAAAGTGATCCAGTATAAAGTTATTTAAAATTACTCTGGTAAAACTTAAAGTCACTTATAATATTATTACTTGATTAAAAGTTTTAAAGTATCAGACATTTTTTGCACTTATTTTTTAAGTAATTTTCTGATATAAAATGTATTTAAGTATTAAAAAAGAAAAGTATTGAGTAAAAGTGTGTCGTTTTAAATACAAAAATTACATTTCCTGGGAGGCGACCTCCCCTAAAACACATTCTTCTACAAGATACAATGATTCTAAGATTATATTTAAATGTTGAAAACATTGGGACGCACTGTTTCAGCTGCAGTCATATCTGCAGTCATCATCTTCACAATAAATATAACAAATATAATAAAGTACAGATAACCAAATTTTTTTACTTAAGTACGTTAACAAAGTATCTGTACTTTATTTTAAAATTTTTATATTCATATATTTGTCCTTAATGCAGAAATTCTATGAAAATACTGCAAAAGGTTTTGACATGTAAACAGATAAAATCGTCTCGTAACCTAAAATTCGTACATGAATTAAAAACATTTCCATATATAAGTCAAAGAAACAGTCAGGTTTCTGCTGTTTAAGGTCGAGGTGGCGAGGACCCATTTCAGGAGACCTAATGGGCCACATGTTGGCCACAGAGCCACAGGTTGAAAACCCTGCAGCCAGTTCAAGTGGTAATATAAAAAAACCTCTAATCACAAAATGTTTCCATAAATATCATTTCTTAAGCTTTTGCACTGCTGTCAGTTTCATATTACATTGTTGTTTACAAAGAACCATGTTAAAAACAATATATACGTGTTTTAACAGGTTTTTCAAAGAGCTATCTGTAACAGGTAAGATGTTAATTGTTAGTTTTACAGAACTCATTTTCAGTGAATCTGAATTTATTGAAATAATATTTTAAATACAGAGTGAAAACTGTTTATTTATTAACA